ACGTTAACATAGAAAATAATAGGCAATAAAATATAGACAATAAAATAGATAGAGACATCAGAAACTGTTTAATAATTAAGTAACCAAAGACAAAAAAGATTGGTATAAATGGCGGATTACAAATATTCTTCGACTGTCCACTGTAAAGCAATTATTAATTTATGTTTAAAAAGTTATTTTCATTTATTTATTACTTTTGCAATTATATCGTCTAAAATAACAGATAAGGTTATACCAGTAACTAAACCTTCAATTTATGTAACAAAAATAAGTACAAAATATAGTTTACGTTTTTTTTCCTTATATAGCAGTAAAGGCTATTTTAGAATATTCTGAACTCTTTTTGGTATTTAATGTTGATGGATAGTGTATTTTTCAATGTGTTCTTTCTTTCTTTGTTCACTTTACATTACGTTACTTTAATACATTTCAAAATGTAAAAAAAAAGAAAGACATTCCAAGTTAATCATTAAGAGGCATATTTACAAATTTACAAAGCTTAACAAATAATCTTACAAAAGGTAACCTTTTATATACGCATAAGATCGATTTTTTTGTAAATTTTTTATGCCTTATTTTGTAACATTAATTATGACGTTTTGAAATAATATTATACAAACAACAAATCTGGTGATTATTGTATAAAATCAATTCTATCAAGCTAAGGGTTGATTAAAAGCAGTGCAGCTCAGGCTATTTTTGATACTGTAAAAGTTATGTATGACAACTTTAAAATAGAATTCATTCTTTTCTAACAAATGTCACACAAATATGACAAACAAAAAATATGTCATACATCTTTCCTTTCCTTACTATGTTCTATGAAAAATGTTTTATTGATATTATAGATTTAAATAAACTTTAACTTACAAATTCTTTCCAATCCTGAAATAAATGAGAAATAAATTAGAATTACTGAAACTGAGGAAACTGAGGATGCCGTATGTTTAATATCAATCCGGAAAACAGATAAACAATGTTTTTTATTAAAAGTTGCTTCTAACTACTTCTAAAGCATGTTTCTTTAAGTAAGGACGAGAATTAACGGGAACGAGTTCAAAAAAAAAAATATCTAAAAATCAAAGACATAGTTATGAACGGACTGATTTGTTTTGATATTCAATTCTGTTGCAACGTTTAATACAACAAATATAACATACGAAACAAGTTAAGTGCATGCTTTAATTGAATTGAAATGAATATTGTGTTCCCGTCCTCGCTCCAATATCTGATCATTAATGATAAACATTGTTAATCAATAACAATGGAAATACAAAAAAGCTAATCATTGATTAGTACCCTTTCATTGTACTATTAAAAGCGACATTATTTCCATCCAAATATTGATGGAGAGTTTACAGGTTAAAGTTCATATTCAACTCCACATAAATAATCAATAGCATACGTGACTAACGAAACATTCTATATATATATATATATATATATATATATATATATATATATATATATATATATATATATATATATATATATATATATATATATATATATATATATATATATATATATATATATATATATATATATATGTTGCACGTATACATTATCCCTCATGTACAGACTCAATCAAACCGAGTCTGCAATTCTCGTGAAATTTTGAAGTGATTAATACTTCCGGGGGATCACTTTGCTTCCAGATTTTTATACTTAACAACAGCAGGTGTCAAGTACTGTGTGACAGCTGTAAAAACGTCCCGTACTTCACTTCAGTGTTGTTATATTTTTCTTGTCCTTCGGGATCCTTGATGCCAGCACTATTAAAAGTTGAGAATTGAGTACCGCTAGCTCAAGCCGGTGCTAGGGTGCCTGAGGGATGTTGCACGTGTTCATTACCCCCCATGTACATACTCAATCAAACTGAGTCTGCAATTCTCTTGTAATTTTGTTGTGATTAATGCTTCCGAGGGATCACTTTGTTTCCAATTTTTTCCTACCCTAGCTATAATAAATACATAAGCTGAATTTATGTTATCTTTTTCTCTATGAGTGATGTTATTCTAGCTTGACCTGGAAAATTTGTTTCTGACATTTGTTTTAGTTTCAAAATGAAACACAAAATGAAAAAAACATAGATTGCTTCAGAAAAGTGATCCATAATTATGTTGACATCGTGTACATATGGATCTCTTCAGCACATATGTAGCTCAAATTGAATTTTGACTGGCGATTCCTTTTTCCTTCCAAATATTTAATAAATGTTTCAATAAGGATTTGTTTGAATGTGAAGCATCATTCGATGGTACGTTTTATAAAAATAATTATAAAAATTTCTTAATGAATGCAGCCAAACCTGTTACTTGAAAATCCTGAAAAACACCGATTTTGTTTATATTGTCCGACTCTTTTTATTATTATACACATATACTTGTATCTGTTTTAACAGAAAAACGAACATAGCTAACTGAAAATTAAATTGTTTGTCTTGAAATACTCATTTGTTTCCACAATTAAGTGACTTTCTTAGAGAGATACCGTAATGACTAGCTGCCTGTGTAAGAACTGATTATCATGAAAAACACTGTTGTTATTTGCCACGCGTGTAATTTTTTTCCAAATAACCTGTATTTCTGGAAACTGGCACTGATAGACGGACAGATACATCTATAAACGCATTAAACTATTAAATGTAATTAATCATTAAATACACGTTTCACTAAAATTTGGTATGTTTATTAACTAATCTTTATGAAAGCAGTCAAATTTGAAAAATAAAAACTTCGAAAAACAACGATTTTCTCTATCTTATCTGACTTTTCTGAGATATATGTTCTTGTTACTATTATATAAGACCTACTGACAGATATAACTTAAAGTTCCTTTACTTTTCTAAGAAAAATAAATCGTCCCTTTAATTAAGTGAATATTCCTTAAAAATCCCTTCATAAACAACGCCCTGCATAATAATTAAAAATCGTAACTAGTAATAATATGTGTGAAAAGTTGATTTCCATATCGATTGTAAAACTCTGATTGAAGACAAATTATAAAGATATAGACGCGACTTATTAGACATCTTTGTTCCATAACAGATCGTCAAACTTTTAATATGAATCACATGAAGCTCATCCCTTTTTACTTCTCAGTAAATCGTAACATTTTAGTACTAGTTTGACAACTACTTCAATCAAAAACTCGGTTGGATTCTTTAATGTAAAATCCCATTAACCATCCAGTCTCAATAAAGTAAAGTTTGGTTTAAAAACATAAACCTGTATCCTGGTATACCATAATATATAGTTAAGTATGTAGTTACATAAATATTCGTATCTTTTATTTTAACTTCAATAACATATGAAGTCAAATCAGTTGATACTTATAATCTATATTTTACAATGACCATTACAAAGGAAGAGCTTAATGTTTCATATTATGAAATTCGTTCTTTTTTATATCCGGAACTAGAGTCCGAACTTGCAATTCGTGAATCTATTGTTTGATTGTATTATTTTACTTTGTAATCTTGTCCGGAGGCTTATCACTTTAAACAGACTATTGTCGTAATAATTGCAGTATTAATGCTAAACATTTAAAAATGAGAATTAAGTTACTACGTTTATCCATGCGGATATCATCTCAAATGATTTTGAGACTTGGTCGGTGCAATATTAGGTAGAGAGTAATTCTTTCCACATCTTAAGAAAAATTATTACAACAGTTTTACATTAATATAAATACATGTTTGGGATCATTTTGATTTATCGTTTCGTGTATCCTTTTTGCCAAATCAATGTAACACAGTTAAAGATCTCAGATTATGTTATACCTGCAATATTTATTGAAAATTTTATCTTTAACAACAGTGTTGTATCCGGTGTCGCGTAATTATCACACGCGTGGTAATGTTACAACGTAGGGATTATTGCGAGGCGGCACAATTACAACACGGTTGGGAGTAATGTCGTGCTTATCACACGTAGGTCTTATGTACACGCCAAATAAATTAAAACATATATCATTTTTGAATGAAATCCGCATCTGATGGTATAACTTTTATGTTTTTCCGAAAAATTATATGGGAATGTCTTGGAAAACATATTTTTCAGGAATTAATGATATAGAGTATATTCTATGACCGAGGATTAATACTAAATTTTTTGAATTAGTTGAATAAAATCATATAATGCGCGCCTCTGGCCAGCATAATATTGTTTTATTCAACTAGTTCAATTACTTTAGTATTTAATTTACACGAATATAATATTTTATTTATCACATATATAAAAAATGGTAAAATATTAAAACGAGTATTTTTTCAATGAAGCACCTATAATGTAATGCTAACACTAGCGATCTTTAACGCTATGTTTATAGATATATATACGTCACGTCAAGTGTGATTACACTAGTGTAATATCGTTTTCATTAAATAGTTTGATTACACTCCTGCGCCGCGGTTTAGGGGATAAAAATAGTTATTAAATAAATCAAGAAGTTGAAGATTTCATTTATTGCATTCAAGATAGTTATGAATCTAAAAAAGAAAATGATTATGCGTATTTGTTATGTTTTATCAATAGGGGGATCACGCCGTTTGTAATCCAAACAAACAAGATGGCGGATGCAGCCGAAAAGAAAGAATTTCCGTTTTTTTTCTCTGAAATACGTGATGTTCTTGTGTAAAGGTACATATAATTACTTTCTCCACAATGGGAGAGTTTCTAGTTAATCCAGCAGAGTTATCTCTGCAGCGCCCCTGACAAATAAGAGGTATACACCTGTATACTGGCTATCTCTGTGTACAGCTGATTTACATTGTATTTCAATGGGAGAATGCAGAGAATGTAATCAACTGACCTGATCTAATTAATAAGCTAAAGTTTATATTGCAAAGTAAACTGATTAACACTTCAGTCTTAGAAATGGTGAATTACTGTTGTGTTCCACTTTGAAATGGGTTTGGAGGGTTTCATTTCCCGAAAGAAAAAGGATTAAAGAATAGATGGAGAGTAGCAGTAAAGAAGGGTGTGCATGGTAATAAAATGAAGTTATGGTCACCATCAAAGCATGATGTTGTTTGTCATAGACATTTTAGAAGTACAGACTTCACAACAACCCAGAAAAGTAAGTAAGATCCCTATATGATGCCAATAAATACCACCAAATTGCATTTATATAATGAGCAGGCATTTTAATACATAAGCTATCATATGCAAATAACTAGTACTATAAAACATACATTACTTGCTTTTTACGTTCACTACTTACAAATTGACGTGTAAACCGTTACTTCATTTTAAAATTAAAACTAGTCTCATCTCATTTTTATGACGGAAGTGCATCAACCATAATTATTCCCATAGTGAAAACAGTAATTTTATTTGTATCATTTACTTTGCAGGTGAACGCAAGCGTTTAAAGAATGGGACTGTGCCTTCTATATTTTTGGAGAGGGCATCATGTAGTTCTGTTAACAGTTCACACTTGAAAGAAAAAAGACAGGAAAGGGCAGATAAAAGACGTGCAAAAAAGTTCAGTGTATGTACTCCTTCAAGCTCGGCCACAGTGCTTGTACCAGATATTCAGCAGGAAATAGAGGTATCTACTGAAACTGTCCATGATGAGCCATTGACTGCAATGACAGTTAATACTGCCATTCAGTGCAATCTGTTAACGAACAGTGATGGAACATTTTCTGCACGCAAATTCAAGGAAAACCCGTCAGCTATTAGATATTATACAGGATTTGATGACTACGAACATTTTATGATGTTCTTTACAGTTTTGGGACCAGCCGTTGCCCATTTAAATAGGAATTACAAGTTAGAGCCCTGTGATCAGCTTTTCCTGACAATGATAAAAATGCGTCAAAACAAAGACGACTATGAACTTGGACTTCTTTTTGATCTAAGTAAATCAGTGATTTCACGCATAGTAAATACATGGATTAACTTCATGTACTTCCAGCTTAAAGAAATCAACTGGTGGCCACGTAGGTCTGAGACATCAGCATACATGCCTGAAGATTCCAAAAGAAAATTTCCGAGTACCAGGGTTATTTTAGATGCAACAGAAATACCCATTGAAAAAACCTTCAAATGTTGATGCTCAAAGTGCAACATTTTCTACATATAAGCATAAAAATACATTAAAGACTATGATAGGGATAGCCCCAAGAGGAAATGTGACATTTGTTAGTAATTCTTATGGTGGTACAACAAGCGATCGTCAAATAATTGAACGTTCAGTTTTGTGCAAGAAAAAACTGTTTGAACCAAAGGACAGTATAATGGCAGATAGGGGTATCATGGTACAAGACCTCTTTGCTAGTAAGAGTGTAGCAGTAAATACCCCAACAATGCTTTGTGGCAAATCACAGCTTGAACCTGAAGCTGTAGTCAGAGACAGGCGCATAGCATCAAAACGGATACATGTGGAACGGGTCATAGGATTTGCAAAGCAATTTAAAATTCTGAAATCAGAACTTCCTGCAGCTAGAATTAAACAGGGGTCACGTATTATATACGTTTGTTTCATGATTCTAAATTTTCGAAAAAGCATTGTTGGCAAACTAGCTTGATTGTAGAAAATATTTAAGTGATTTGACATACTAGAATGGAATATCATGAATCGTAAAATACTTAGTTGATACTCAATAAAAATAAAGACATATATAATGTGATGATTTTATAATTTCAGACACACACATTTATTATATCAAATTTTAATACACATACTTTATACATCTTGCCTTTACACACGAGTAATATTTTTTTTAAATTTAGCTTCTTGTCTAAGTGTTATATCAGCAGTGATCCGCTATATATGGTCTTAAATACTTCTCATAGAACAGTGTTAACTTTGGTATTAAACTACCTTCACAATAATCATGGTCAAGTTCAATCTTTTGAATCATCATGTCCTTGAATGTATAAATGATGAAGTAGCAATACTTTCTTTTACTGATGTACAACTGTCCTTGAATCTGATAGAAATAGTTACTGGTTTGTCTCAATACGATGTTACCCTGTGAGTCATATTCCAAGAAAGGAAATAATTTTCCAGGTTTTATGAACATGTCTCTCCCACTGTATGGGCATTTTATTTCTATAATTGTAGTGTCGCTGATGACGCCATCAGGTGTGCAGGCTAAATATGGTTTTTGATGGCATATGTACAGTCCACAACGTTGCACTTTGAGTCCCGTTTTAGCTTCAAATTTCTTACGTGCTGTTTCTTCATACTGCTTGCCATGTATTATAGGTTTGCTATGAAGATTCGAAGAAGTTATGAAAGACTTGCATAACTTGCTCATATTCCTCCTAGCTGTTAACTTGCAAACTTCACCAAATCTAGATGCAGTTACTCTCCAGAGACGTTGCTCCCGCCATGTGTGGTTGTCAGCCTGCAATCTGGTCCTCTGTTCTATTGTGTCTATCTGTTCCGGGCTAATGTGTTGGGCGTTGTCTACCCACTGTTCTAACAGTGGTCTGTGGAGGTAGTCGTGATCCCTTCCTGCAGTCTGTATATCTGCTTTGCCCCATATGTAACGGATGGCTAAGTCTTTGGACGTTTTTGAACAATAATTAACAACCGTGTTTCTCACATGATCTGTATAGTTTGCACAATTCCTGAAAGCAGGGGGTCTTGGATCCTGAAATTCATCTGTTGGTCTGTTTCCTGGCAGATCCTCTGCCTTCAAAGGTGTCCCAGAATACTGTTTCTTTGGCTTGTGGAATGTCTGAAGTATTTCAGTGCATGTCCTTTGCACATTGGGGTTATTGCCAGAAACAAACTCTGACAGCATAATCAGCACGGCAGCGAGGTGTTTGCATGTACCATGCGGTCCTTTTCCAGCAGGGCATTCGCAGTGACTATTTAAAACTTCCCCATTTTCCTTGCGAAGTTTAGCTTGTAGCTGTATGTTACATTACGCTTCATTGCTGCTGAAACAATACCCGTGAAAAACAAGTCTTGTCCTTTTACACTTATGCTACAGGCTCTAATTCTTTTACTGTTGTACAGCAACTGTCCCTTTTGTAAAGCCTTAATATCTGAAGTGATGTTCTTGTCTGTGGCCTCTCTGTATTTGAAATAGCCATCGATCTGTGGCCTTGAAAGTTTTGGCAGAAGAATTCTGTGTTCTAACTGCAATTGATGGAAGCCCGACTCTGGCCAGTCAGTGTCCAATGGCTCAGGTAGCAGAATGGGTTCTCCCTTAAAGTCTAAATTTCTGTCATATGCCTGCAATCTGTAAATATTATATAAGAAGATACATTTTTATTTAGATCTAGTAAAGAACAAATTTGAAGAAATTCACTCTATATGATTATATTAATAAATTTACAAATGTAGTAAAAAAAACTATATCAAACATATTATTGTATAATTTACTTACAGTTCTACTTAAATATAATGTATGTAAAGGCAATATATCTTAAAAGTTTTAACAGGAAAAGTGTTGATCATTTCTTCAAGATCATTTTCGTACTGTTATTCAGTCTACATAGTCTACAAAATAAAGCAGTTTATATGCTTAAGATTTAAAATAATATATTCAATATATTAAATATAATTACCTCAATATTAAATTTTCTTTTCTTCCTGCTGTTGAAGCACCTCTGGTAATTAATTCTTTCTTTAATTTAACAACTGACCAGCCAAAATACTCCGAAACTTTCTTAGAATCCATGTTTATTAATCTATGTGTTTACATCAAGTGGCTGTAGTTTGTATACCTCTTATTTACTACTTCCGCTTATCAGTAGAGTGTGGGAAACTCCCCCATTGTCAGGACACACAGGATTTTATTTCATGATGTTTCGTCCCGTACTTTATCTGAAAAGCGCGTGACAAGAATGGAAGCGAGAGAATTGTCCACCGGTTTGATCGTGGTAACAAAAAACTGAAGTTTACACGTTTGCCAAATCACCGGTTTCCAATATATTGAGATTATACATTAACTAATCTACAAACACCTTATCAGGAAACATTAAATATATGTATGCTCATTCCATTTGTTTCTTTTATGTATGGATCTCTTGTGACGTTAGATATTACTCTTTGTGTATAACATTTTGTTATAGCAACGCTTAATTGATAACCACATACTCGAATTCTGAAACTTCAGTGAAGCATTACTGTACATACTTGTAGAGATTACATTCTTTGGAAGACAATCTAGGTTTAGGTAAGAGCATATGAATGAAGATCAGCTTTTTCTTATTTCCGCTAATCGTGCCATAATTTAATCATGGAAAATGGCACACATAAGATACTGTTTTATAATTATTGTTTAGATTTAGTTTAAATTTAGTATATCGATATATATTCAATTTGTGTTTTCTCATTTTCTCTCTTATAAGCTTAGCATAGAAAATGATAAACAAAATAATTTAGATATAGAAGAAAAGAAATAGATTGAAGATACTGTTTTATGATTAAAGGAAATCCACTGAGGTTTATAAGCCTAAAAACATAACATTTTATTTTTTCACATAGATGAACACAAGCACTTTATACAGAAATTTACATACAATATAACTAAGAAATATTCAAGAAATACATTGAAAATCGTATGTTTGTGCTATTCTCAGTCCAATTTGATTGAAAAGCGTTTAAACGCTTTTCAATTTTGCGTCATCTTTCACTATTATAATAATTACTCTGGAAAAACGGTGCGAGCTAATGATTTGCACTTAATTTATTAGTATAGATCTACATCAAATGGAGTAATAATCTCAAAAAATTATTTTCAGTCCCGTCATGTCAAGAAACGTCAGTGGAGTCCCTTTAAATGCTCACAGACAAATACTTAATATAAATTTTTTCTTCGAATGTCCACTGTACAACAATCTTTAAACACATGTTTTTCATAAATTATCATCATCATTCTTTTTTTCTGGTCATTATATCGTCCTAAATAACGAGTAAAGTTGCTAAAAATTTATTTAATGGAATGGAAATTGGGAAGTAAAAGCTTTGTAATAAATCATTACTAACTCATCCCTTTTAATAAAACTATTGTTGTGTTTGCAATTCGTCACTTGATTGCTTTTATTTTATTGGCTTACTTTATGATTTGGACGGCATACACATTTCCGTTTATTTTTAAAAGCATTTAAGTGCTTTCAATCCCTTAACGATTTGTTTTGATATTCATTTTCTGACAGAACATTATATTCAACTTATATATAATATCAAACCAATAAAGCGCATGCGCTTAAAATTGTGTGTATTCCCGTTCTCGCTCCAATTCAATTTGCGTTGTTCACAGGTTCTATGTCAAATTAGGTAACAAGTAAAATGGTTTCCTGCGGGAAACATTTTTAATGATATAAAGATATTTCATTTAACTATTTTCAACATTGTATGGGGGAAAATAAAGAAACGTTTGTATCAGGAATATAGTTGAAAATAGTCGATCAATAGAAGAAGGTCTATGGAGACTGGTGACCGTTGAAGACCGGAGACCAGAGAGAATGTCGAACATAAAACAATTACGGTATTTCTTTTTAAGAAAATGATTAAATACCATTGTATGAATAATTCCGTGCAAAAATAAAGATAACACACAAGTTTACGCAGAAAATATCTATTTATTTTGGCAGATGCCACTTCGAATATTTTGATTTTGTAGATTTTCACTATAAACAGTTTATTGTTTGTAAAATTTGAGATAGATATCAAAGAAACATTGATAATAATTATTTCAAACACATCATGCAAGATTTTCCACCTTAAACGGTAAAATAATTATAAAAAATTGGAAATATCACGAAATAGTTTTATGTTCTTAATCAGATGTAATTCGAGGTAAATCCGTAACGTACCGGCAAACGGTATTTAGCTAGGTTTTCGAAAAGGTCAATTAACCAATCATGTACGGTTAATAGATCACATGCTCCTCCATGTACCGAAAACAGGTCACGTGCTCCTCCATGCATCAAAAATTAAACGCGTACCAATACCCTGCGGGCTCCGGCCCGCAGGGAATTATATAAAATATTTTGTTTTTAAGATAGATTCAGTGCTTTATAATGTACATGAATGTTGACATTGATTTAAAACATAATTAATTGTATGTTTCTATATGTCCGTGCTAT